AAAAAAAAAAAAAAAAAAAGAAGGAAATCAAACCTATTTTATGACCCTGCAAAAACCATCTCTTGGGGAAATTCACATCCCCTTCCTAGACAGCTATCTATTCTCTTTCAGGGTTGCCACTTATGAGGCTTCATCTATATATCAATAAACTTCCTCAAAACGCCCTGTATCACAGTGCATTTCCTTTACTAATTTGAGAATTCCTTAAGACAAAGCCTAACTCTTGCTACTGATTGCCAATCAGGAAGCCTTTGAATCCACCTATGACCTGCATGCCCCCACTTGAAGATGTCCCACCTTCCTGGGCCAAGCCAATATAAATCTCACATATACTGATTTTATGGTTTTTTGTAATGTCTGTCTTCTTAAGTTGTCTACAACCTTGGGCACACGTTCTCGGATCCTCTTGAGATAGTGCCACAGGCTTAGGTCACTCATATTTGGCTCAGAATAAACCTTCTTAAATATTTTACAGAATTTGGCATCTTCCATTAACAATGATAGCCCAATACATACATGTTCTTTCCAGATAGACACTAACTAGTTCTCAAGTAAAACTTGTCAACATCATCTGTCACACATAGTTCATTCTGACTAATGTGGGCTGAATTGTGTCCACTGCCCCCAAATTCATGTTGAAACCCTAACCCCAGCATCTCAGAATGTGACTGTACTTGGAGACAGAGCCTTTAAAGAGTAATTAAGAGCCAGGCTCGGTGGCTCAGCCTGTAATCCCATGCCTTTGGGAGGCTGAGGTGAGTGGATTGCCTGAGTCCGCGGGTTCGAGACCCGCCTGGGCAGGTGAGACCTCATCTCTACAACAAATCAAAAAATTAGCCGGGCGTGGCAGTGCGCGCCTGTAATTCTCGGAAGGCTGAGGCGGAAGGATCGCCAGAGCCCAGCAGGCCGAGGCTGCAGTGGCTGGGAGCGGCCACTGCACTCCAGTCTGGGTGACAGAGTGAGACTCCAACTCAAAAAATTAAAAAAAATAAAATAAAATAAAGAATAATTAAGGTAAAATGAGGTCATAAGGTGGCCCTTAATCCAATATGGCTGGTGACCTTACAAGAAGAGAGATTTAGATACACAAAGAGACACCAGGAATGAGCATGCACAGAAGAAAGACCATGTGAAGACACAGTGAGGAGATGGCCATCTACAAGCCAAGGAGAGAAGCCTCAGAAGAAGCCAACCCGGCTGGCACCTTGATCTTGGACTTACAGCCTCCAGAGCTGTAAGAAATAAATTTCTGTTGTTTAAGCTAACCTATCTGTGGTATATTGTTATGGCAGCTTCTGGTGTCTGAATGTGTCCCTCAAAGTAAATGTGTTGGAAACAATCCCCAATGCAACAGCATTGGGAGGTGGGAACTTTAAGAGATGATTAGGAAGCCAGGCTCGGTGGCTCAGCCTGTAATCCCATGCTTTGGGAGGCTGAGGTGAGTGGATTGCCTGAGCCCATGGGTTCGAGACCCGCCTGGGCAGGCAAGACCTCATCTCTACAATAAATCAAAAAAATTAGCCAGGTGTGGTAGCGCGCACCTGTAATTCCGGCTACTCGGAAGACTGAGGAGGGAGGATCACCGGAGCCCAGCAGGTTGAGGCTGCGGTGGCTGGGAGCGGCCACTGCACTCCAGTCTGGGTGACAGAGTGAAACTCCAACTCAAAAAAAAAAGAGATGATTAAGTCACAGGACTCTACCCTCATGAATGAATTAATGTTGTTATCTTGGGAGTGCATTGGTTATTTTGAGAGTGCGCTCTTTATTAAAAGAGTTCAGCCCTCTCTTTCTCTCTGTCCCATGTTCTCTCTTGCCTTTCCGCCTTCTACCATAGGAGGATGCAGCAAAGAAGGCCTTTACCAGATGCTAGTGCTATGCTCTTGGACTTCTCAGCTTCCAGAACCATGAGCCAAATAAACTTCTATTGATTCTAACAGCAAAACACTGAGTAAGACAGCAGTCCTAGCAATTATTATAATATACTAACTTTATCTGGTAATCAGGGTGACCATCTGTGGTAGCTAACTGACTTTATCCAGAGGAAAGACACATTTTTTTATATCCTTATGACAAGATCATTTTGCAACTTGGAGAGATACATCCATTGGTAGTTAGGCTTCTACCCTCCAACAGGAACTGGGAGATGAGGGTGCTATCTCTTGATGTTTGCATTTCAAAGAGATGACTCCCATGCCCTTGAGACTCTTAAAGCTGAGAAGAGGCTTATTTAGTTTCTAAACAAATTATGCACATTTCAAATAGACAGAAGGAAAGAATTTACAAATGACAAGTTTTCCAAAGTCAGTGCTCTAAGCCAAGGGAAGAGAGGAAATCTCTTTTCTTACTTTCAAAGGGGGAATTAAGACTCTTATTTTTACATTTTAATTTTGCCCTTACAGTGATGTTTGTTTTTTAAATATCATTTGGGTGCTCAGTGAAGAGCAAACCACAGGGGCGCAAGAGTAGAAGAAAGAAGGTCACTTGGGAAGTTTTTGATAGTGCTCAGACCAGGAAAGTGGGGATGAAAATGCAGAGTTGGACACACTGTGGGTAGTGGAATATGCTCCCCTGGGAGCTTGCTGAGGTCTTGGCTGTGAAGGAAAGTCAAGGATGACTTCTAGGTTTTGGCTCCAGCAACTCTCTGGAGGATGATGAGGCATTGGGAAAGAATGGCTAAGGAGGGAAATCAAGAATTTGATGTGGGTGTGTAAGCCTTGAGAGCCTATTAAGAATCCAGGTTCACAGGTCAAGTAGGTAGTTGGGTAGCTTCTGAGTCAGAAGCTCAGAGTCAGAGCTGGAGACTAATTAGGGAACAGAAGCTGGTAAGGGAGGAGGACTGAAGTATGTGGGGTCCAAGAACCCAGAGAAAAAACTGCTGGGAGGAGGACAGCGGGAGCCTCCAGGTGGCCATGAGACTGGGATCTGCACATATGAGGTTGTGCGTGCTCTGGACAAGAGCAGTTCTGACAAAGGTGATGGAGGGTTACCTGGATAGGCTGAGGTGAGGGGAGGCAGGGACGTGCCCTTTGAGAACAACCATTCGGATGAGTCTTGTTGGGAAGAAGAGCAGAGAAACGAGGCAGTCACTGGAGCGGGGAGCCAAGTACAGGAAGGTTTTGCTTTTGTTACTACACAGCCATCTGGATATCTGTCCAATAAGTCACAGGAGCACGCGGGAAACACCCCAGCAACACAAAACAGTTTACTCTCTGCCCCTTCTCCCCCGTCACTGGCAGGAAGGAGACACAGGTAACAGTTTGAGGACTTTTCTGGTCGTATTTGGGCTTTGGGGCTTTAAATAAGGTGTGAGATACTGGTGATGCAGGAGAGAGAGGAAAGTCAGAAACAGGCAAAGCAGACAGTGGGGGTGGCAGGTGGGGACCTGGGTCAGTGTTTATTGGGAACAGTGACATGGTGGCTGAGGGCAAAGGCCCCAGGCAGGGCCTGGCACGCCTGGTGGTGGCAGTACGGGTGGCAGTGCTTTCACTGGGAATTCTCAGCCAAAGGTGTCCTTCCCAGCAGCCGGGAGGGCTTTGCCTTGAGATACCAGGAGGCGCTGCAGAAGAACTAGCAGGGCGGACCTCAGCGGGTCTCCCACCTTCCTCCACTCACCTGCTGGGCTCAGGCTGGGCTGCTGTTTGGCTTCTGCTCTGACCAGGACCTCAGACTGACATCCTCCTTCAGACTTCCCTCAAGGGACCCCGTCCTGGTTCCTTGGGTCCCTAGGGCTGAACCCCTGAGCCAGCTGCCACCTGATGCAAAACCGTTGAGGGTTCCACAGTCCCTGGTGCTGACCCGGCTTCCTGTCTCTCACCCCTAGGAGCGGCACTCTGAAATCACTGAGGGTTTCGTGTTGACTACTGCATTGTCTCACAGAGGGACCCTGCCCCAGATGCCAAATCTAATTTGAAATGAGCGTGTTGGTCTCCCATTTCTGAGCCACTTTGCCATCAAGGCTCAGCTTCCTTGGTCTCTCCTCGCTGGTCACACAAGAAATGGAACTGACCTTCCCAGTCTAAATGGAAGACAAATGTCACTCCAACACCATGGCCTCCTGGTGCAAGGCCTCGTGGCTGCTGGGGGCCATGGGGAGGCCCTTGCTGGCCCACCAGAGTGACCAAATCACTTACGGCAGTGGGATCAGGCTGGACGGGTGGGTCGGTGCGGGGCTGCAAAAGAAATGCCACACGCCCGAGTGTGCTGAGTTAGAAAACTTTATTGGTCTCTGTGTGTCTAGCGAGGGGAAGGGGCTTGGAGAGGTGAGGCCTGGAGTTCATGCAGGAGTTGGGGGCATGCACAGGTCAGCAGAGGCGTGAGGGGTGGGGCCAGGGACTGCAGGAGTTATGGATTCTCCGAGGACCAGGAGAGTGAGCAGAGAACATTCCGCGCTCTGTGGTGTACAGGGCACACGGGCAGGCGAAGCAGCCTCTCCTCAGTGCCGGGTCATCTGTGAGGAAGGACATGGCACAGGCAGTGAGCCCCGAGGCCCAGCCCTTGTCCTGCACAGCCCAGCTTCCCCTACAGCCCGCTGCCCCCCCTCTCACCTTGGCTGGGCTGGGAGGGTATCTGGCCTTCTGGGCTTCATCATTCAGCAGAGACCTCACCAGGCAAGAGCGGCGGTGAGAGAAGGTCTCGAAGCTCTTCTTGCCGTGGTAGGACCCCATGCCGCTGTTCCCTGTCGGAGGAGCCAGCTCAGGGCCCGGATGTCCTGTCCCGGGATGCTCAGGCCTCCCTCCCTACTCCGTCTGGGGCACCCTGGAGCCGCTGGGACACAAGCTGGTAGAGGCAGTGTTTCCAGCCCTCCCCACAGACTGTGCGGCCCTCAGCACCCACCCCTCAGGTTGTGTCCACAGCCCTTGTGGGCTCCTTTTCCAAGCCTCCTGGGGATGGCCAGCCCCTAGGGTGTACTCCAGGGCGTCCACAGCGCGGACCACAGAGATACTGTCCAATAAGTCTAATCCCAGCTACACCACTCTGTGGCTGTGTGGCCTCCAGCCTGGGTCACCCTTCTTGGGGTTTCTGTGAAAGAAGCAGGGTGCACCAGGTGACCTCCAGGACCCTCTAGGCTCTGAGGTGAAATGTGGCTGATGGACATGCAGGCAGAGGTTAGAGGCCCACATGGGAGAGACAGTGGGAGTCTGAGGTCCCAGCCTGCTCCGGCCCCTTCTGAATTCCCTAGGTGAGTGTGCCCAGCCCTAGGGGACACTTGGAGGGAGGCGAGTAGGCAGTGAGCTCAGCCCCAGACTCACCCACGCCCCCGAAGGGCAGAGAGTGTACGGTGATGTGAACGATGACGTCGTTGGCTGTCACCCCACCGCTCGATGTCTCTGCGATTATCTTCTTAATCACCTGCACCAAGACCCAGCCACTGGCCTCAGCCTCCTGCCCCAGGATGCCCCAGGCCTCCCGCCCCACCCCATCTGGGTGTGGCCAGGAGACACAGGGACATGAGCCAGACAAGGCAGATTCCCAGCCGCTGTCTCCCGTCCCCCACCCCATAGATCACGTGGCCCTCAGCACCACATGAGGAAACTGTCCCCACGACTGTGTGCAGGGCATTGAGTCTGGGATCACCTCATTCAATGCTCTCAGGTGATGCTACTGTCCTGATCTTAGAGACGCAGAGTAAGATGCTCAGAACGGTTTAGAGACTTTCCCAAGGTCACACAGCCAGTGAGCAGTAAAACTGCAGTTTGAACCCAGGTCTGTGGAGCTCTGATCCTGCGACCCAGGAACCCCGGGATCCCGGAGGAGGGTACCCAGGCCCACCTTGTCGTTGTTAGAGAACACGTAGAGAGCCAGGGGCTTCTCGCGCTGGGTGATGAACTGGATTGCCTCCTCCAGGCTGCGCACGCACACGATGGGCATCACGGGCCCAAAGATCTCCTCCTGCATCACTGGGGACTGGGGGTCCACGTCCGTGAGGATGGTGGGGGCTGAGGCAGGAAGCAAGCCAGAGTCAGCTGGCATGGAGACCTCCGCCCGCCTGGCAAGTCTAAGCACCCAGACCCCTGCTTCCACCCATTTCCAGATGAAACCATCAGGCTTGGAAAGGGGCAGGGACAAGGCGCCAGAGAGCTCTTCCCATGGCTTCCACGTACGTCCCGGGCTCCCGCCCTGGCAGACCACCGGGGACAACTGTGGATCAATCCAAGGTCTGCCTGAGCCCCAGCCGGAGTGCGTCTGGGTCCTCAAAAAATTGAGGGCCCAATGGGCCCCATCTGGTGACCACAAGCCTGGGCACCCGGGGCCCCTCACGGCTTATCACACCTGGGGCTCCTGTGGCCTTTGCTGTTCCATCTCCTGTTGCTGCTGAGGGGTGGGGGAAGATGAAGCCCCTCTCTCTGGGCCTTTTGGGGGGAGGAGCTTCTGAGGTTGGGGAGGGACTGTGCTCAGCCCCCGCCTGCTGGAGTCACTCCAGGCCTACTGGCAGGAGCGATTTATACCCACCACAGGATTCTGTCTATCAAGTATCTGTGCTCATTTGCAGCAAACTTGCCAGGGACCTCAGCAGCCTGGGAAGGTGGGCAGTGATCTCCAGGGGGCAGGGGGCACGTACCTATGTAGCGGGAAGCTGCGTCCCCAGTGCCCCCGTAGGCCACTTTCTGGCCCTCTATCAGGCCCATCACCCTCTGGAAGTGCCGGGAGCTAATGATTCTTCCGTAGTCTCGGGACTTCTTGGCATCTTCCCCGTAGAAGTCCTTGGAGAAGACGCGGGAGTTTCAGGTAAGGACACAGACCCTCGTCATGACTTCACACCTGTCAGCAGTTACTGTCTTTGGATGGTGGCATTTTGGGTGGAACTTGTTTCCCTCATTTATTTGTTTGTTTTAGAGACTCGGTCTCGCCAAGTTCCCCGGGGTAACCCGTGGGCTCAGGCAATCCACTCATCTCAGCCTCCCAAATCCACTCGCCTTGGCCTCCCAAAGTGCTGAGATTACAGGCTGAGCCACCGAACCCAGCCTGTTTCCCTCTTTTTTTTTTCTTTTTTTGAGTTGGAGTCTCACTCTGTCACCCAGACTGGAGTGCAGTGGCCGCTCCCCGCCACCACAGCCTCGACCTCCGGTGATCCTTCCACCTCAGCCTTCCAAGTAGCTGGAACTACAGGCGTGCACTACCACGCCCGGCTAATTTTTGATTTATTGTAGAGATGAGGTCTCTCCAAGTTGCCCAGGTGGGTCTCGAACCCGCAGGCTCAGGCAATCCACTCACCTCAGCCTCCCAAAGCGCTGGGATTACAGGCTGAGCCACCAAGCCCGGCTTGTTTCCCTCTTTTTTAATGGTTGTTAGTCTTTTCCAAATTATCTATAGGTGAGTGTGCATTACTTTGCAGAAGAATATAAATCCAGTGTTTCCAAAAGACGGGGAAGTCAGTCTTACAGCCTCTCATCAGCCCCCACCCTGGGGGCCAAGACTCACTTTCACCGCCTTTTTGAGCTTCTCCACAATTTGACTCTGGATCGAGGGGTCACAGAGGATGTAGTCGGGGGCCACGCAGGTCTGGCCACTGTTCATGAATTTTCCCCAGGCGATGCGTCTATGAAAATTCCACATTGCACTAAATCCAAAAGGGCATGGGGAGCACCCCTAGAACACACATCTCATTCCATCCACTCGGGGTCCAGACACCGTGGCTTAGCACTGCAGGGAGCGCCAGTGAGCAAAGCCACCAGCTGTGACCTTGCGGCAGTAAGTCCTCCCAAGTGGCCTGCTCACTTCTAGACCCTGGACCGAGCAAACCCAATGACCCTGACCTCGTAGGGGGGTCATAACCTCATCAACAACGGACAGTGAATTTCTGGAGGTTGTCTGGGGCAGATAGCCTTTGCGCCTCCGTGATCACACTCTACGAGTTCTGCACAGCCAGGGGTCACTGCTATTCCCCCCACCCTCATTCAGATGGCCACAAGTGTGAGCTATGGAGGTGGTCAGAGACCGGCGAGGGCTGGGAGGGGCAGACTTGGAGTCCTGCCTCGGACCCTGAGCTGTGGTGGCCCTTCTCCCCTCTGATTCGGCTCTCCAGAACTCAGACCCACCCGTACACCATGCAATGAACTTCTCACAATTGCTTTTCCTGCAGCTTCTCCTGGAAGCACCACTTCCCCAGTGAAGCCCATGCAGCAGGCAGAACTCAGCTTAGACCTCTCTGCCTCCAGGAAGCCTTCCCGGATGTCCCATGCCTCTTCTGTGCACGTGGTCCCCACTCCCACCCCCACTAGAGCTTTTGAGAGGACGGCTGCTCCATGAGGCAGGAGCTGTCCACACTAGTCAGAGAGGAACCGCAGCACGAGGTGCGGTCCATGTGTGTATTGGAAGGCAGACGAAGGCTGGCTGCAGCCCAGACCAGCCCATGCCTCCTCACCGGCAGGCCACGTCCAGGTCACAGTTCTTGTCCACGTAGCAGGGGCTCTTTCCTCCCAGCTCCAGCGTGACGGGGGTCAGGTGCTTGGCAGCGGCCGTCATGACAATCTTCCCCACCCCTGTGCTGCCCGTGTACAGGATGTGGTCAAACCTCTCCTTGAGCACCTCTGTGGTCTCAGGGACACCCCCGTTGATGACGGGGTACAGATCCTGCCACACAAGGAGAGAGAGGAGGCTCAGCAAAGTCCAAGCCCCTTTTCTCTCCTGCAGTTGCGAGTGGGCAGTGGCCAAGACCAGTAGCCCTGCAACCTGGCACCCAGCTGGGTGGCCACCGGCAAGGTGACAACCCTCTCCATGCTCAGGGGCTTCGTTCACCCCGTTGGGAAAGGGCAGTTGTTAGGGGCCATCTTCATCTCCACCTGTGGCTTGGCCCTTGGCTTCAAGAATTAACTGCTTCTCCCTCCCAATCCCCCACTGAACACCTGGTTCCAACACGGTTATCCTTGAGACTTAAAGAGCACCTCACCTTGTCCAGGTACTGAGGGATGATAGTAGCCAGCAGGCTCGCCATGTTCTCACTCAGCTCCGAGGGCTTGAGGACCACTGCGTTCCCTGTAGAGCACACGGAGACAGGCGTGTTCTCAGAATACTCCACCCATAGGCTCTGCCCTCGCAAGAACCATGGCTGGAGTCTCCCTGTCATCATCCGTGTCCTTGAAGAGTGGAGAGAAGAGTTGCTGGCACGAGCACAATGCCACATACAGGTGCACACCTGGGAGTACACACAAGTACATGCAGGGACACATGACACAGGCACAGACACAGGCACATGCAGCAGGTGCACACATGACCTCACACCACGGGCGTACACACCGGTACACACAGAGGCACGCACTGGCCAGAGCTTCACCATCTCGTCCTTTGAGATGCTGAGATGTCAGAGAAGAGAAAGAAGAAGGGGAGAAAAGTTCTGGGGGCCTGGTTAGGAGAGCAGTGCTGGCCCCTCCTGGTGAGGAAGCCCTGAAGCATACCAGGTGACAGCAGCCCAGCCCCTTGCACACAGGCAGGGAAAGGCAGGCCGTCTCCTGGTCCTCAGGTGTGCACACCTGAACCTGACTGGTCCTCTGGCACCAGGAAACTGAGTTAAAGAGTTGGGTCCCTGCAGCCTCCTGCAGTATGTAGCTCAGGGTACCTGCGGCAATGGCGCCCACCATGGGCTGGATGGTGAGGTTGAAGGGGTAGTTCCAGGTGCCAATGATGAGGACCACACCCAGGGGCTCCGAGTGGATGTAGGATTCATCCTGCTGGGTCTGGGGAGTCTTCTCCACGGGCTCATCCGCAGCCCACTCCGGGAGCTTCTTGATCATGTAGTCGATCTCCTCTATGACATACACCACCTCCTCGTAGAAGGAGGTCCATTCATTCTATGGCGAGAGGGCTCTGAGTAAGCTGACTGGTTCAGAGCCACAGCCCCGCAGCCATGATGGGACCTGTTCACCCATCCAGCCCGGGGTGGGAGAGAACCAGAGAAAGCATGGGGCAGAGGATGGGGATAGAGCCCAGGATTAGCCATTGGACAGCTGGGTCTTGGAGGACCCCTTTCTGTCAGGCTGGGGCCCAGGCAGGTTTGGACATGACCAAGAGAACCTCAGGGGAAAAGGCTAGCAAATGATGGGGGTAGGCCTGGGAAGGAGGTATAGATGTGAGGGTCATTAGTGAGCTGGGGGAACTAAGCTGATGCATCATCTTGGAAAGTGTATCTGTCAAAATGAGACTTGAAACCAGGAAGAAGCCCCAAGAAGATCCCCTTGAAGAAGTGGGTCCAAGGAAGAGGTGGCCCAAGAGAGTTTGGAGAAAAGCCAGGAGAACTTCAAGAGAGAGGAGGAGTTAGTCTTGAGACCAAGGTCTGCTGGGAGCTCAGGGCCTCCTGGGGTAGAGCCAGGGTGGAGAGAGAGGGGCTGCAGACAGCAGAATATGCATCTCGAATGGGCTTTGGCTTGTGAAGAGCAAACCAGACGGATGCTGTAGAGTCAACTGAGTGGGTTTTCTTGTTGGTTTTGGTTTTAAGATGAGAAGCCCTGAGAGACTTCTCTCAAAACTCAGGAGCAATGAGGTGTGACCAAGACCCTGAACTAGTAGGGGGATGGGTTCCAAAGCTGTGGACCCCCAGGGGCACCTCTTCTCTTCTCCCTGGCAAGGCAGAGGGGGTAAACTGGTCCAGGAGAGGCAGCAGGGAAGACTTTGTGAATGCGGAGGTGTCGGGTTTTGCTCAGAGTGAGGGATGGAACAGACCCTGTGAGGACTGGGAGGGAGGCAGAAGGCCATGCGGCCGCGTGGCCCCCAGGATGCCCTCTGGGGTGCCAAGCTGTGCTGCTCCCTGGTGTGGAGGGCCCAGGGGTCCCGCGTAAAGGGGGAACCAGAAGTTCAGGATGTCATGGCAGGAGAGGGTGGACATGGGTGGCCTCACGCTTCAGGCTGATGCAGAAGC